CTGCTGCTGCTGCTGCTGCTCCTCCTCCTCCTCCTCCACCTCCTCCTCCAACTACCACTCTTCCATGTAATTGAAGGATATTCCTATTGAATATGAGAGTAGGCGAAGCGCATCGCGCCTTCGGAATTATCCTTAACGCGTTACTCTGACGATTTTACATGATTTCCATTTCATATTTTGAAATTTTAATTGTACGTATATTTGCTCTGTTCACAGCGGCCGAAATCCGAGTCGGGCTCCCTCTCGAGCGGTCACAGCGAGGACTCCGACCGGGACTCGCCCCTGGGGCCGCCCACCCCGACGCCGACGCCCACCTCCGGCTCGACGCCCGTTCCCCCGACGGGCGCCCACTCTCGCTCCCCCGCCATGACGACCTTCGAGTCGGGCCTCAACGCCTCCATGATGGCCGCCTCCCTGGCCGCAGTGGCCGCCTTCTCCACCTCGAACCCGGGCGCCAAGCCGGGCCTCTACCCCGGCGGCCACGCCCTCTTCCCGCCCTGGTACCTCCCCCCGACCGCGGCCGCCGCCTCCGCCAACCTCGCCGAGGCCCTCCGGCTGGAGGCCAAGGAGTCCGCCGAGCCCCGCGCCCCCTCCACGCCCACGCCCACCGGGACGCCCTCCGGGACGCCCACCGGGGCCGCCCCAGGCAACGCCGAGATGCCCCTCGACCTCAGCGCCAAGTCCTCGTCCCTCAACTCCCCCTCGGAGACCAAGTCCAGCTCCCCGGACGCCCACGACATTCCCTCCCTCCAGCACCTCATCCAGTCGGCCGCCTCGCCGCAGTCTCCGCGCGTGCCTCTCCTCACCAGTCACCAACAAATCTTTAAGTAAGTACACACTACGACCTCGCCGCCTTCTGCTAATCGTCTCATCTCCTTTACAGGTTCATACACGGAGAAAAAAACTTCGTGCGAGGGACCCGAAGTTTAGGTCATATGGATCTCTCATGTTTTCGGATTGAGCATCTGAACACTTTAGGTCAAGCTGCTGAGGTTTGGATCACACATCTGAAACTTCAGTTCTTACATCTGAAGTACTTCAGATATGTCTGAAGTACTTCAGATGTGAGATCAGTTTTCGGAAGTGAGAACCGAAGTTTTTCGGATGTGAAAACCGAAGTACATCAGATGTAAGAACTGAAGTTTCAGATGTGTGATCCGAACCTCGACAGCTAGACCTAAAGTGTTCAGATGATCAATCCGAAAACTTCAGAGATCCATATGACCTAAACTTCGGGTCCCACGCACGAAGTTTTTTTCTCCGTGCACGGATGTCTTCCAAAATCTCGAAGTTAAGGTCTCGATAGACGATCAAATTCCCGAACCAATTACCATCAAAGTGTCGGGAGTCATCAGTCTTAAACTCATTAATTCGCTTAGTTTTAAGATGAAAACTTGGCAGAAATGTTTCCTGTGGCAGGAAATGATGAATGGTGGCACTCCATTCTGATCTTACTTTGATGCCGCGATCAGACGCTGAATTTAGCACCTGAATGTGGAAGTCAACAGTCATCGCCCAACGGCTGAAATTTAGCAAATTCGAGTTATTTTCATCCAGATGTGTATCAAATCTACTCGAATAGTTCAGACAAATTCAAAATTGGTCCGATGGTTGCTGAGAATCGTTGCTGAATTTTGCGCGTCACGCGCAAAATTCAGGCATCGGGCCGATGACTTCCACATTCAAGCCACATTCAGCTTCCACATTCAGCGTGTGATTGCGGCATGAACAAAATAGTGCGGCCCGTCAAAATTTGATGGTAGATGGTGACCATCAGTCACCAGCATGTCTACTTTGATCGGAATTGGTTCGGAATTTGGTCGTCTACTAAGGGCTTAAACTTTTTTTCCAGATTACCTCATCTACAAGCAAGCTGATTGGTGATAGAGCTCCTTCAATGAGAGACATAATAATGGCGTTTTTATTCGGCTTAAAAAGCTCTCATGTGCGAAGTGTCTCACTCGTCAAAAATCGCATGACTGACATTTAAGTCATTTTATGAGACGTGTCTGAGAGCTGAGGGAACTAAGAGTTGAATATTTGCCCCCGAACTCTCTCTACTCAGTCGTTTTTCCTGCGAAATAATCGCGGGTCGAGGTCCAAGTCGCAATCAATTCTGCAAAAACCGCAGCAAAAATTAGTCACTCATCGGCCTTGAACCGCTGTCGCTGTCAGTCTTCGTTCGCATCAATCCGACAAGTCGTCGTTCCTCTGACGTAAAGGCGGATCTCGAATTTCCGAGTGGGCTCCGGAAAGCATTGACTTATACGGAGAAAAGGGTTCACGTGGAAATCAACATACACCCCCTCGCGTCAGAGGGGCGACGAAAGCCTCAATCTCACTCTCTCGATTTTCACCACTCAGCTTTGCTAACACGTCGCACAATGGGCTGAATCAAAGAGAGACGTTCGACATGAATTTTTTTACTAAAACTGCAAAGTTAGATGTTTTTTTTGTCAAATTTTGAAATATTAGGGTTGATTCTTATAAAGTTTTTGACGAGGAAACCGATGGGATCATTTTTAAGCACTGGAAAAATAAAACACATCGGATCTAGAGTTCAGACTCTTGACAACATTGACAAGAAAAAATACTCTTGATTCGATCAGATTTTTGCTTAAATCGAAAGGAAATCCACTCAAATTAAGAGGCTTAGTTCTTGGTTTAAGCAAAAATCCGGTTGAATCAAGAGTATTTTTTCTTTTCAATATTTTTAAGAGTCTAGGGACTCTAGATCAAATTTGTTTTTTTTTCCAGTGAGACCTCAAAGTGTTGCATAAACGGAGTTATAAGCGTTCAAAGTCTCCAGATTTTGACCAACCTCTCCCATTGACTCGATCCACTAAGCGTCGTTCAGACCGGGCGAAATAAGATATTGTAACGAATTTTTGACTACTCAGTGACCCAGCGGGTTGATTATTGAAATTGATAGACAAAACTATAGACATAGGAAGTATGGAACAATTCTATTGGTTGAAATGGATGGTTATCATATCCAGACTAAAGACGAAAATGATGGACTAACTATAGAGTCTCTCGTGGATTGCCTATAGTTAGTCTATTGCCTACTTCCTTCGATCATTGCAACTGCCCTCTTCTACCAATAGGATTCCTCTATATCGCTTTTGTCTCTTTGTCGGTAGATTTGTCGATCAATTTCAATAATCGACCCCCAGGGACATTTTTTAGCTTTCCTTGTTCAAAGGAAGCAACTTTTGGGGACTTTCAACATTTCAAAGGAACCGTCCTGAAAAGGGGCAAGAAAGCTGTCATGCTGAGTAAAAACACGACATGAGCAAACGAATGTTGCCGAATTTCCTCTCAGAAAATTTCAAACTTCGAAACATAGTTATACGAATTATTTTCCTCGAAATTTACCGACTTTCTAAATCAAATTATAAACCAAATCCTCTGAAAAATCGGAATAGAAATATTCGAACATTTTCCTGAAAATTCGTGATTTTTCTCAGGAAATTCGGCAACGTCCGATGGCTCATACGGGGTTCTTCCGCGCACTGAAAAAAATATGCCGGTAGATTTTACCATCTCTGACACAGTGATACGAATATGGTAATAAACACCAGACTCTATGGTGGCATTTACCATACTATGGTAAGAATCACCAGAGTTCTGGCGAATACTACTATAATTCTGGTTATTTCCACTAAATAGTATCACTGTGTAAAAAATCAAGTAGACTCATAGTAAATGTCACCATACTTTTTTTTCAGTGCGGCATTGCAGCCTGTGGGTGGTGCAGGACTTTTGGATCATCCTGTACGATAGAATACTAGTGTTTTCCAATGAAAAACTCTTTAATTTTTTTTACTCAGTGCGATCACGGCTACTTTTTCTGATTTTATAAATGGGAATTAAGCCCATTTTTTCCTGAAAATTTCACTTGTAGTCGTGCTTCGCACGTGAGAAAAAACCTAATTATTAGTAATAAATTTTTAAGAGTGCGTGTGGGTGATTCAGTTCTATTCATTCAAGGGTCCCGCGCATCCAAGTGATTAATGATAATAAATCCAACTTTATGATGAATTATTGTGGCATTGCCAACCGTTCACGATCAGCTGAAAATTGAGTTCTAACTTTCACTTTTCCTGAGAGAGGATTCTGAGTTCAGTTTCACTTGCATCAATGATACCTTAAATTTTCCCAGAATGCATTTCACTCAACACTTTTTTGCGCTGAGCCCTTCAATGTGCGTAAGGGTGTGTATGATTGTGTGCGTAAATCGGAAAAGGAATAATCGGAAACATGGAAAATGCAAGCCGAAGCTAATGGATCGTGTCAAACAAAATCGAGGCCGATCATAATCGACCTTTTGAAAAACGACTTTTATTGTTAACAAACGTGAATAGAGTTTTAAATCATTTTTTGCCCATAAAATAAGACCTTGAAGTGACAATCGTTTGTTTTAAAAAGCCAGAGTAGCAACTGACTCGACGGAAATGAAATTTAGAGTGCGTTTATTCTCCTAAAAATTTACTCCAATAATGTAAAAAGACTTTCATTTTCATGCTGATTTGACAAGGAAGTTGTGACGGACACACTTTATTGACATAATTGAAGAGCGATCTATCGATTTGTTTGACATTATCCAAGAGCGTGAGGCAATCTAATAAAAACCAGCACTTTTTTTTCGCTAGCAATATTTTCCTTAATGTTTGATAAATTTAATTTTGCGGTGATCAAAGCCTCGAGGAAAATTAGAAAATGAGTGAATGGAGAGAAACGAGGAAGAAAAAACTGGCCAGATAAGATACTGTATGGATATTTAGATGACATTCTTCGAGTCACTAATCTTCAAGACAACTTTTCCACTGTGAAGTCTTCAAGTGACATCAGTTTAAAAAACTAATGGCTATCCGTTTTGATCTAATACAATAACCAGTCATTTAAATTCCAAATACTTGCATTTTAATTTTTTTAAACCAACCAAAAACTTATCTTCCAATTTTCCTCGTCCTCAATACACGGAGGAACATATTTCATACGAAGCACTGATTCTACTTATTACAAGATCCGCTATACATTTAAATTAGAGGACATTTTATTATGGCTTCGAAGACTTACCCGGATGTTTAGTACGATGAACCAATTTAACCGTTTTTTATGTTCCTCCGTGTATTTGAGGAGTCATTGAACTTCATAATATTCACTTTAATGTATTTTGCGGGTTGTGTGTGTATCGTGTATGGTGACACAAAAGTAACTCACTGCATGCAGCGCCTCGAAGACTAGAGCGCAATTCTCACTGGGAAAAAATCAGTGAAGGGTCTCCCTTTTTTTCTATTTCTAGTAAGCTGGAATGATAAAAAAAATCTGCACATTTAAGACAGTAATTTGCACGGATTGCTCTCAAAACTAGCCACACGCTGCGAGTAATTATTTTTGTGTCATCGATCCCGCAATGATGAGTAGAATCAAAATTTTTACTTTCTAGCCTTGTTAAAGCAAGCGCGAAAAGGGTTGAATTAAAAAAAAAATATTCTTTCATTTAATAGATCATTATTCACAGGAGTAATTTTGATCATTCCAAGTCTTGACTTTGCTGGGCTGCTTTCTTATTGCCTTCTCGTGCAACGACTTCGATCGATCACAGATCAACGAATATTTGAAGGTCGAAAATCTTGATTCTACCCATCCATATTTCTATCTGCAACCTTTGCACATTTCAAAACTCCAAACCTAATCGAAACAAACAAGCTCAGATGAACCAGCATGACAGAAAGCTGTCGCACAAAACAAGAAGAGTCTCCACTTTGTTTATCCGCCCGTCTTTTCCAAAGGCAAGACGAGCAATTCATAGGACTCGCAAATCGCGTGTAACCTATTCGGAAATTTGAAGGGGCAATACGTATTTCAAGTCGCCTACTTGTAAAATTGAAGGGGCAAATCGTACCGCGAGTTGTCACCTCAAAAATTTGAAGGGGCAACATGTATTTCAAGTTGCCTACTCATAAATTGGAAGGGTCAAATCGTATTGCGAGTTGCCTACTCTTGAAGTTGAAGTGGCAATGCGTATTTCAAGTTGCCTACTCGTAAATTTGAAGGGGCAAATCGTACCGCGAGTTGCCTATTCGTAAATTTGAAGGGGTAAAGCGCATAACAAGTTACCTGACCACGATTAGAATCCTGCCAGGAGCCGGCGGCACGTGTCGAGAGGGTCTGAGCTTTTTTGTTAGAGGTGGTGTCTTTGTTTCGTTTAGAACTGATTTGTGTTTACTAACAGGGCTAAACCCCGGCTCAGTGCCGTGGCGGGACGACGGACCTACACGGAGGAGGAGCTCCAGGCGGCGCTGCAGGACATCCAGAGCGGGAAACTCGGCACCCGGCGGGCGGCCGTCATCTACGGCATCCCGCGCTCCACCCTCCGCAACAAGGTCTACAAGCTGACGATGGAGCGGCGGCAGGACTCGCACATCGGCATCACCTCCAACAGCAACCTGGCCGGGAACCTGGCCGACGACGACGACGGCATCCGGGACGACGACGACGCCATGCGGGACGACGACGCCGAGCTCTCCGGCGCCGAGGAAGAGAGGGAAGTAGAGAAAACCTTACTAAAACCCCTGATTTCAGTCGAGGATCTAATCCGGCTCTCCCAGGAGGGGCCGGCACCCACCGACTCCCTGCGGACGCTCCTCCAGCAGGGCAGCAAGCTGGACCGACCCAAGAGGGAGGAGTCCGCCCACTCGCCGCCCGTCTACCCGTACTTCCCCCCTAACCTAGAACAATTGTGGAGCGGGCTGGATCAGTCCGCGCTGGCACCGTACCTGGCTCAGATCCTCGCCGCGGGTGGCAACAACCTCAACGCAGCGCTCCTAGGGCAGATCAGTCCCTTCCTGGCGGCCAACGCCAGGCAGAGGCATCCACCGGTGCCGGAAGAACGCCCGGCGTCCGCATCTCCTGCCCCTGACTTCGTACCTAAGTTTCCTCCCCAGGCGCATCTCTCCGACCTGGTCAGACGCATGATGGCCGAGGAGAAGATGCTCCTCGAGGAACAGCAGAAGAAGGACCCACGATCTTTCCAGATCAACGGATCCAGGACCTCGGAGCCTCGGGCGTCCTCGTCAGGGCTCCCGAGCAGCAAAGACGACGAGAACTCGGCGTCGAACGTTATACTGAAAATTCCGTCCTTCAAGCCCGCTTCCAAGAACGGCCTGGAAAGCTCCTTCCAGTCGCCGGACTTCCCCCTAGGTGTCAAAGTCAGCTCCGCCGACTCCATGGTCTCGGTGGTGTCGCCGCCTATCGGCGGCGCCCGGAGCGAGTCCTCCTCCCCGCCCTCCATGGTCGGCAGGAACTTCAGTATGAACTTCAAGGAGGTGATAGCGAAAAGTATTAGTCAGAAATTCCAGCAGCCACCAAACGAACATATCCCCAGTCCCTCCGGGCTCAACTTCCGAGCGGGGCTGTTCAACCCCGGGCTGGGGAACCCGCCCATCATCCGGAACCACAACAACAACCACGTGGAGGACCGGAAACTCTTAGCGCCTTCGAATAAAGGCCTAGGGATGCCGGGTAGTGCCCCTACGTCGTCGGGTTCCTCGTCGGGCGGAAAGGGCACGCGGCCGAAGAGAGGGAAGTATCGGAACTACGATCGGGACAGCTTGGTGGAAGCCGTCAGGGCCGTCCAAAGGGGCGAGATGAGTGTTCACAGGGCCGGGTCCTACTACGGCGTGCCCCATTCAACCCTCGAGTACAAAGTCAAAGAAAGACACTTGATGAGGCCGCGCAAGCGCGAGCCGAAGCCGCAGCCCGCGGAGGACGCCAAGAGGAAAGACGATAACATCCTTCGGATATCCCCCAGTGATAAACCCAAGCCTTTGCCCCCGAAACCAAAAACCCCCTTCTCGACGTCCTCGCCGCTGCCGGGGACCCCGAACGGTCTGAAGATCCCGCCCCTGTTCGATCCCTCCATGGCCTACCCGGCGGGGCCGCCCTTCCCGTTCTGGCCGCCCAACCCCTTCGCCCACCTCCCGCTGGACTACGGCCGCGGCGGCAACTTCCCCCAGAGCCCGGAGCAGTTCTTCGCCACCCAGATGATGCAGAGGATACAGCAGGAGGAGAACAACAGGACGTCCCAAGGGAGCCCGACGCCGGCCGCCATCGCGGCTCTGGGCAAGAGTGCACGGGAGGTCGCGGAAAGCCTCTATGACGGGACTGGGGCTAATGGTAGTTTTCTAGACGGGATAATCCGGTCCAGTTTAGAGACTGGGTTGAAGGACGGCGGGCATAGTTCGCCGGAACACTTATCGAATAGGAACCTTTTAGAACAACTTTGCCGAACAAATAGTCGACTATCCTCTTTGACCAGGCCGCCGCCTCGAGACACGGGGAGCGGCGGCAGTGGTAGTGGGAGTGGCTCCGGTTCGGACGAAGATACCGTCAGGAGGCCTTCGACAAGCGCCGTGAACCCGGCAACGTCGCCATCTCTAGATAGACAAAAGGCTCTGGATAGAGAAATTAAGTCTGAGAAGTTTAGCGAAGAAGACATAGTATCACAAGAAGACGTCCGGTCGCCGCCGACTAGTACGGACCTGTTAGATAGCTCGCAAATAAAAGTTGAAACTAATGAAAGTGCCTGTGATAATAAAAGTAGAGAGGAAGACTCCGCACCCGCCAAAGACCAAGAAGCAGATCAAGAACCCTTAGAGACTATGGAAACTTAAATGATATAATCATACTATTTTTATTATTCGTAAAAATTCTTATTAATTATTATTATTAATTCTTATTATTATTGTTAATCGATTTTGTTTTCGAAGGTGCAACCTGTGAGGTTCACCTTGCTGTACTGATGTATTTAGTTTCGTACAGGTTCGCTCCCTAGAGTAACGGTAAAGAAGCAACGCGTCGTTTCGCGCCGGTAAATAATTCCGTTTTATCTGTCTACTTGAGTCTTGTTTACTGTTATTATAGGATGCTAAATCCACAAAAGTGGTTCATTTTACTTTTAAGTCTATCGATGATTTTTCCGTGATCCTTCTGCCTGGCAACGGGGTTCGGTCATCCCTCTTGGAATTTATTGGTGATAAAGTAATCGTTAAATCTGGAAAACTCATTTTTGAATATTGACATCACTAGATCTCCACTCATCTTGTATTTATTCAAAAGGAAACGTATCATTACACTGCATCGGTTTTTTACTGAGAAACTAGAGATCACGAAAAATTTTCCGATAAAATAGTGACTCGTTTTAGTCTTAAAAATGAAGTATGAGAAGAAATGTTTAATGCTCCAATTGAGACCTTTTCCCGTCTGACACAAAAACTATGTCGATTTTATTTCAGAAATTAGGGTCGAAATCATTCAACGTTGCCATGAGTCTGTCGGAATAAATCAAAGCAGAACATTTGGTTTTGCCTACATGGGCAACAATCATTCGAATGAAAATGTATCATTCCGACCGTCCCTGAATAATTACCAAAAAATTCTGAGAGGGAAATCATTGCCCTCATTCGATTCTCCTGGTAATTTACAAGCTTTAAAACTTTAAAGTTTAAAATTTTAAAACTTTCAAACTTTAACGAATCATTGACACTCCTACCGATATTTCATGTTAAACATGCCTGGATCTAAAAGTCGTTTGCTTGCTAAAAAGAGGCTGATGTAAAATAGCATGTTTGATTTAAGCCACTTTTTGTCTCAGCGAATGAGGAACATGAGCATAGTTGAAATCATAATGCATATCTGTTGAATATATCCAATATTTCAAAAGAACATTTGAAATCTCGAAAAGACCAATGAGCATTTATAAAGATTTAGGTCTCCACTCATAGATTTCTCTATTTTCTTATTCTTTCTTGATGATGTTTAAAGCATGACCTAAAATTGGATACATATTCATTTAATTTATTTTTCTAATGCTTAGCGCATACCCTCTCACTCACACTATCATACTACATTGAAAACAAATAACAGTAACTAAAATACCTATTGTGCAATAAACTGTAAGTAACCAGAATAATACCCTAGTTTATGGTTAGGACGACTTGCTTACTTTATTAACTTGGACACCTGAGGTCGGAATGCCCCCAAGTTTGTTGTGTATAGAAATTTATGCCTTTACCAACAGAGTTTCACTGTTCAAATTTGATTAAATATTCAGTACATTTATGACTGTAATATCTGAATCTGACCCAAGAGTCAAAGGTCAATGTAGGGCTGTCTATAATTTCGTCTGTTCAAACGAAGTATCGCATGTGTAATCAGTATTTGTCTCAGCATAGAGGGGAAAAAACGAACATTGGACGTATGGAGGACCAAGGCTAAAAATTGATCAAGAACTAAAAGATTTTCAGAAAAAAACGGGATTATCGGGGTTCTAACAACTCTATTTTCGACCAGCAAAATAGAAATACTTTTGAAAATAAACATAAGTAAGCTCTAACCTACATATCACAGTTGAAGGAAATGGACGTAGTAGCCTAAAATCCTGTTTTCTGAATATTTGCGTATACATTTCATCCTTGGTGAACCATACGGAGCCGTTCAAAAATTACGTAACGTACGTAACGGTCTGGGAGCGGGGCGGGGGGGGGTCGAGGAAAGCGTAACGCTGTTTTGTTCTTACATGTTGAAGGAGTAGTACGTACGTTACTAACATGTTACAGGAATGAGTCACGTAATTTATGAGCGCTTCCTAATCTATATGTTAGTTTTTTTCCCTTGTCATAAGTTGAGCTATCGCTTTTTTCCCATCGTAATTGTGTAAAGGCGGTTCTATATTTAGCAGGCAGCAATTCTAAATAATAGCTTTCTCTTAAGCAAAAGCCCAATTTGCAATCTTACATGATATTCTAAGCTTATTGTGGCGACCATCCTTCTTTGCCCATTTTTTATCCATTAAGAGCAAAACATCCAACTAAATAAATTTTTGTTTGTATTTAATTCAAGTGTCCATTTACGATATATTAGTAACTGTATCGATTTTGAAATAATTTTCGCTTGTTCAAAATATCAATCAAATTTTAATTCATTTGGTTCGAAATTCATATATGATTTTTGACTTTTCGCTTAAATTATTCATAGTTCTCTTAGACTATCACTTCTCAAAAGTATCTGTTGCTGTCCTGTCTCTCAAAATTGAAATTCTGAAAATACTATAACACTTAATTGAGAACCCCTGTTTTTATCTCTATTTGGAATGAAAAACTTGGATGAAAGTTTTCCCACATCATTGGAATCCATTACAGCAAAAATATTCTGCTCTTAACCAGGGACCAATCCATAGTAACTTTTAGACGCTATCTCTAATTTTCATTCCTGATTTTTTTACCTCTGTCTATTTTGCCTAAAACTTTAATCCATTAGTATTTCTAAGTTTGTACCAAAATTTCACTATAAATTTACTTACATTCCTTTTGTAAAATTTTTAAGAATTATTTTCTCTTCTCAAATATGAAACCAGGAATAAATTAGTTTGAATTCCAACATGTGTCAGCTTTTGGGTATTTACACCTTAACATTTAGGCAAGTTAATTAAGTGAGAATTAATCGTGCAATATGTAAAAGATACCATTTTTCCTCCCTTTTTTTCGCCAAACCTGGGAAAAGTTCCAAAATTGAAAGGGTTGGTAAATTTATTTTCGTGTTTCCTTCCTTTGTCCAAAAACAAAAATTTTGCTTACCACGAAAAAAATGTGTATGTATTCTTTTTAGAAAATTTCGGTAATCACGCAGTACAATTTTCTGAAAAAGAATTGTGAACAAACTGTCATTAAAAAAAAGATCCTTAATTTACAGAACGTCTCTCCCAAAATTCACAGACACTGTGTCAGCTTTGATGTAAAATTTCATATGTTAAATTTATGGAGACTGGGTATCTATGTACGATGTTTCTACAATGGTTTCCTGATCATTCAAACTCACAAGAAACGCTGATGTTCAATTATACATTCCTCGAGTAGAATTCGTTTTGTATCAGTAATAAACTCAAATTTTAGTGTTTAGAGATAATAAACTTCCAGAAGGAGTATAGTAACAATATCCTTTCTTTTGTGCCGCATTTTAAATCTGAGCACGCAATTTTGAAGCAGTTGCTTAAGTAAAAACGAAGATAAAGAAGTTGAGTTCAATTTGGAACTACTTATAACACATGTCGTGGTGGTTTAAGTGTTTCCCTTACCATTGGCAAATCCGTACCCTTAGGTAGACTTAATTTCGTATACGATTAGGACCGTGGATGTCATTAAGCCTTTTCTTCTTCTTTTCTCTTTTATTTCTACAGCTGATCTCATAAATTTAGATTAGTAACTTTGACCACTTAATGATAATTCGATTCATTCACAGGTGACTTGGCTTAAATGTTAGATGGTGAAAATTTTAGGTCCAATCCGTTCGTATTTTTTTTCTTTCTTATTCGTTCTCTCTTCAAGGCGAGTTCAATATTTTTCACCGTACCATAAAGCCCATGGCATGGACACGATATCTATCGAAAACATATCTTTAAAATGAGATCATAAGACGGGAGTGAATTTTAATTTTAAAAATCACCAACTACTACGAATTTCGCCACCAGGGCGCAATGTTTGAAAAACGCGTGTGTGTTTGATGCACATGTGCACAGCTCGAGCATTTCATCTCGAGCTTAACGAAGCAAATCCTAATTTCATTCCAAATAATTCCGTTTGAATTTTTTGCACAGTCATAATATGTAGCCTGGAGGGCGAAACTGTCGTCCCTCGTGAAGTCATTCCTCTCTCCTCAAATCTTCTGAAGAAAGAGTTTCGTTTCTGACATCAGACATGCTTTACTTTTGGTGCCATATTCACATCTTAGTTGTTATTAGGTCTCTTTCTCCTCCTTTTGTTCTTGCGTTACTTTCGATGACAGTGGCGCGGCGTGCTTCGATATATATCGATATTTCCCCATTTGAAGCTATGGTAAAGAATCGATTATCAAGGTGTTCGTCGCGAACACCCTGTTAATCGATCCTTTTTCATATTTTTAAATGGCAAATCAATCGATATGTCGCAAATTACGCCACGCCACTGTTCGGAGAGTAAGGAGTCGCTCAGGTAACTGAGCATGTCGCAGAATAGGGCTTTGCTCGTGACTTATCGCAAACAGACAAACTAATAACTATATCTCTCTGAATGCCTGTTTTTTGTGTTCAGAACTATCGCAGATGTTTCCTGGTGAAAAGGAAGATGGTGGACATAGACCACTGTAAAGTTTTTTTTTTTTTTTTTTTTTTTTCAACAATGGCTCCAAAATGATACATGCAAATGTTATGGCTAAAATTAACGTTTATGACGTCATCCACCGTAGTTCTCCTAGGACAATATCTTCGCAGAAATCTGATGCAAAAACCTGGCAATTGGATTGATCTTATCATTTTTTTTAAACCTTTAAAAATCAACCGTTGAGACGGTATTATCTATCGCACCCGTAATGTTCTATCAAACCGAGCTACCATCCGACTCAGTGGCGAGGCGTAAATGATCGATAATCGATATTTCCCCATTTGAAGCTACGGTAAAGAATCGATTATTAAGGTGTTCGTTGCGAACGCACTGTTCATCGATCCTTTCCCATAGGTTTAAACGGCAGAACAATCGATATATCGTAAAAGCGCGCAACGCCGCTGACTCGACTAATGTCCCCTTTTGCTTGACTGCAGAGAAAGAGCGTATAATTTGTATCTACATATCAATCCCAGCCTGCCTAATTACGATCGTAGCTGTAATTTTAAGATATCTAAGTGTTCATTAATATGAAAATTCGGGCGTAAAATTAGTATTTCTACTCTTAGGACTCAATATGGGTTGTAAATGTCAACGAAGGTATCTTGTCATTCCCATCATGAAAGTAATTCTGTTTTATCAGATTCTGGCGAGAACCATGAGGTTTCCGGAATTTGCACAAGCATGCACCGATGAAAATGTTACATTCTAATACAGTATAAAGCACAATTATTGACATTTTTTTGTCTCCGGTTAAAAGTCAAGCTCCACCCGCCGATGTAGGTCCGTCATTCAGCGTTAGTTATTCATCGGTAAACTGACGCCTTACGCTGTAAATTAATGCCACTATAAATTGTGACCAATGTAAACCTATCAGCAATTTAAAAAAAACACACACACAAAATTGAACCGAAAATGTGTAAACTTATGAGCGGAACTCACAACATCCATTTAGACGTTATCAAATTATGCAAGTCATGAGTTTATTTATTTTATTTTTTTTTTAACAAAAAAAAAAATTTAACACATTGAAAAAGACTAATTTCGAATAAAGAAAAAGAAGAAAAATAATTTCTACATTTTGAAAGGAAAACGTCGTTAGCCTCGTGCAAGAATTTTCAATACCGAGGCAAAAATATCAATCGAAGCTTCTTTGAAAAAAAAAAGTTCTGAGGAAAAAGCACCCAGTTTCTTTTGCATAGTATTCCGCGCAATTTTTTTCCGCCAATTTGATTCTCTTTCATGACGGTTCGAGCGCAAATAGTATGAAATACGTGTCTCGAAATTAAATAATGCTTTTGAGTCAAATTTTTCATCCCGAAAATGTCAAAATGATCAATTTTCGTACATTAAAAACAATCATTGATTTCAGTGCATTTCACACAAATTCTCCGATCGATTCTTTCCATATATGTCTGCATTTTCTTTCCGTTGTTTTAAGTGTATTTTAGGTACTATATATTTGTCTGAACTCATTCTTTATTTACAGAAATTTCCATTTAAAATTTTACTCAATAGGTACTTAGTATCATAAGTTGTAATCACTCCGTGTAATCAATGGTTTTAGTTTCTCTTTTCTCTTCTGTATTCTTAGGTCTCATGCTATACAATAGTTAAGTTGTTTTATTTTTACTCACTTAATGTTTCATTTTCCGATAACTGATAGCCGTAACATACTTTATACAGGATACTCTATTATTTATGTACTTTTTTTCTCTTTTTTCACTGATGATACCCTCTCAATAGTTTACGTTAAAATGTATATGCAATAGTTACTAAAATTCTACAGATTTTGCTTTTCACTCTGTCTTTATGGAACGTATGTGTTCCGCCAGGCATAATTGACGGTAGCGATTTTCGAGGGTTGCCAACGTTGATTTTCCTCCATTTACATCCATGTAAATAATCGATTCTTGCTGAGGCAGCCTGTCGCGACAAATATCGATTTTTTTATACACATTTTAATGGAGATTACCCAGGTTTGCCAACTTCGTAGAATCACTATCGAGTTTATAGCCCGCTATCATTGACTATTCATAGCAGCTTCTTCGTGAGTTTTTCCCCCATACGTCATTGGTATAAAATGACAAAGTCTATGAATTTCCAAGTATATTTTTTAGGAAACTGACCTTTCTCTAAGAAAGTTTCAGTTAGGTTTAAGTATATAAATAGAGAGGTTTCATTTTCCAAGATCTCCGGATGTGTTTACCTTGATAAACACTCCTGTAACGAAATTCACGTATCCAACTTCTTCGTTCTTTCTAAAAAATGTCGGCGGTGAAAGTTAGGCCATTCGTTTACTGAGATTATTACATTTTCTGGAGGAAAAAAAGAGGAAAGAGCCTTCATTTCTGCTGTGCCAAGGAAGAACGCCGTATGAATCGTCAGGCGTTGCCAAATGTTCTTTCATAAACCATGAATTTTCTGGTAAACCTATGAATTTATTCCTTCAAATTTACAGACAATCTTGTTCGCCATTTCATCTAAAGCGCCTACAAATTTCAAGTAGGAAAAGTATTTATAACTTGCCTCAAAAATAAACATTTTATCGATGGAAATCTGGCAACTCTCGAATGTTCATACGGCGTTTTTCCTTAGCATGGCAGATTTGTCATAAAGTTTCAATGACGCCTTCAAAATGAAGGAATCATGCGGTAGTTTCAGTGATCCTTCCGAACCCTTCTCTCTATCTCTAGCCCCACCCCCCTCCCCATCTCTCTATTTTATTTCTCTTATTTCAATTGAAGATCTTAGAGATCCTAGATTTGAATATAAAGGCAGATTGGAAAGCATCCCCCATATTACAGTATAGTCCTGCAATAGTCGATTCACATTTACACAAGCTTACATACTTTTTGGAATGCATTTTCTCTCACACATTTCGGAAAACAAATTCATGATTACTCACTTCAGTTGTTTAGTTTTTTTCTTGTTCATTAATTTTCTTCTTTACTTTCTATTGTTTTGTTATTACTTCGTCTTTCTGATTCAGTACAAAGTATAAAAGGAAAACCAATTTTTGAATTAATATGATGTTGCTTTTTTACATTCGAGTAAATTTTGTTATCGTGGAGATTTTTGTCATGCTCAAATTAAATTGCATTGCTTTTTCAACTGAAATGTTTATAAATAAATTTCTTTCAGACTATGCAAATACTTCTTTTTCATAACCCGACGTCTTGACTCTCGAAAAACCTAGTTCGCCTTTTTCTTCAATATTCTGAAAATTCTTATATTCCCTTCCAAAATCAACATGTTATCATTGAAGCATTGAATTGTCTCCTTATGAAGTTCTTTTTCTTCGAAAAAGCTCCATTGGTAGAAGATTCTTTTGTGCTTTTCTACAAGAATATAACATTCAATAAAGCTAAAAATACTTAAATAAGTTTTGACAAATTTTCAACAAATCAAGTGCCATCCCCATCCATAGAGTAAGGTAAACATCTTCCTTTGGAAAAGAAAATTGAATTCTGGGCTTGAAATGAACTCATTTCAAAGAGCTTTATTTCCACACGATACCTAAAATATCATGAATTGGATGTAATTTAACTCATAATTCGAGTTTGTCTCACGAAAGTCAACGGATAGAGGAGTAGGAAAATTGATTTTTAGGATAATTTAAAAAGTAAAAAAGTAGAAATCTTTTCTTTCTCGGATATCGAATTGATACATCTCAAATATTTGCTACATTCTAAACATGTTTCCTGCCGAATTGTCTTGGAAATTTGCGCCGTGCCAATGTGGCTATCCTAAATTGTCGTTAAAATTTGCTTTTCCGACCGAGTAGAGGTTGAGAAAACGCCGTGTTTCGTCATTTCATTGCTACAAAGGTAGAATTGCATAGGATCCCAAATATCTCATGCCAAAAATAGGACAATTTGTGATAAATATATATTTTATAGTTCGAATTTTCAAAATCGGTTCTTTAAGCCTTTTCTTTTTTTCTTTTTTTAAAATTGTTAAGTGTAATGAATTGAATCCTTGTAACAGAGTCTAATCTTGCCTAGCAGGAGTCTTAGATTGTGAGGAATCGCTCATTTCAGTCCGTAGCGGGGAAGGCTCTAAAAAGAGGAGAAGTTAAGTTCTAATTTTTTCCGCTTCTCCAGTTGTGGATTTTCTCTTTTTTATTTGATTTAGTTTTATTCGACTTTTTAGTCTTCAGTTCCTTTTTGACTTAACTCATTTTATAACGCTTTATTCTTTTCCCTCTACAGCACTTATTTTGAAAGATTCTGAGTGAATCGATGTAAGGTTATTGGGCTCGTGCTTGCTTGCAAAATCTTAGTTCTAGAGAAAATAAGTGACCGAAAAATTAGAGAAAAATAAGGCGGTTTAGTCGATTGCGTTGTGAATTTCGCCTTACGACTATCTTAAATTCTCCTACTTCAACGTACGTTAGTAGTGGATGATTTTCTATCCGTGTTACAGAAGAATTTTTGTCTTATTTTGTTCCAAGAAATACTTCAAAAATTCAAAAAATGAAACGCAAATATCTTTGTGAAAGCATATCAATTGTCTATGACAGGTATTTAGGTTACCTGGTTTTTCTTCATTTTTCACCAACAAAACAGTGAAACAGAATGTGTGACAAATATTTTTCAGCTATTTATTTTTCCTTATTTTGACCTGAGCCCAATATTATTTTGGATCATTTATGATCTTTCCGATAATTTTACACCGTGTAAATTGCTTTTACCTTGTATTCCGTGTCAAAAAACTGGAACAAAAAATTAACACCACCGTCGGAAGAAGATAGAAAAATAGAGCATGACAAACTTAGACCCGTATCATTTCAATTCTAATACATTGAAGAAAAATCGAACTGAGCGATGAATGTTGGAAGTCTTGGTAGAATTAATATACGAAAATTTTATTAAAAATAATATAAATGCATATATTTTTTATTGAAAAACTAGTATTTTAAATTTATTTTTAAAAATTGTTTTCTTTTATGTTTAAAATGTTTAGTTGTGTGAAAGGATTTGTAAAACAAATTATTTCATGCGTTCACGTGTATTTGTGTATATATGTTGATGTGTATACATTTTTGTAAGTATATACATGCAATCCAAATGAATTGGTTGATTGGATTTTTAACTGAGCTATTTTATCACCATGTTTCCATTTGATAACATTCTTTTTATTTTTTCCCAACTCCTCGTCTAATATGTGACTTTATGCATATATTCTCTTGAATAATTTCGCATCTCAATGTAATATGTGTAATATAAATTTCATTGTTATGTACACGCGTGTATCAAAAATGTGAAATCTCACAGCTTTTGCTCTGTTCAAAATCTCGCACGAAGGCTACACTTTTTAAGCCTCAGTGATGAAACTATGAACATGTATTTATGTATTATAAATTTCTAAACGTAATTTTTTTTGGTGCAATAGATAATTTGAACATAAATGTATGTATAAAGGACACATATTGCTAACTCCTGAGACTTGTTTTTTCTCGGTTTTTTTCTCTTTTTTTCGTTTTTAATGGTGAGAAAAAAATGTATCAAATCCTTTAATTATCTCTTTGTTTGTTTTGTTTTCTTGTTTTTTTTCTTTATTTATTATCTTTTATTTTAATGAGCCCATCTTGACAATCCGCGTAATGAAAGGTGTTGTACATATTATGAGCCTTGCGGCTTGTCATGCTGGGTACTTGTGAAAAGGAACTGTCCTGAAAAGGATGTTTAAGAAATAAATAAAGTGATGAAAATCAATCAAATTTGTATCTGTGAAAAAAAGCTTTTTATTGTACACAAAATAAAGAAAAAGTTGTAATACAAAAGAAACGCTGACTTCACTTTTTTAACGAACGCATACACTCAATGAAGTTACAACTACACCCGAAAACTCCAAAGGAGGGGAGAAAATTATTATTATTTTATTTATTTATTTATTTATTTTTTGCATATTCAGCTCCATAACGAGGATTAATAGTTGAATATTTTTTTTCCATTCCGCCATCAGAAATCAACCACTAGGCAAGGTATGAGTTAAAACATTATGATACATGTGCCTCAATCAACACTTTACCAGTGGCGTGGCGTAAATTGCGATGTATCGATTGTTATGCCGTTTAAACCTGTGGTAAAGAATCGATTATTAAGGTGTTCGCTGCGAACACCCTGTTTATCGATCCTTTTCCATAGGTTTAAATGGTATAACAATCGATATATCGTAATTCACGCCGCACGCCACTGCATTTTACCCAGAATTTGTTGCAGCGAGCAAAAATTACCTAAATTAACTTGTAAGGAAGATATTAACTTTTCCAGTTAACATTAGTTACGGGAAATTTGAATTGCCCGCTCACAGGAAAATCGAAACGGTATACGTGAGCCAAATCGCGCACTATAGCTGTTATGGCAGGTTTTTCAATTAAGCAGCGTTCCATCCCTACCCTGTCTTGTTTAAAGTGTAAACAACGTGCAACAACTGAGCCGAAATGCCAAAGATGGATGTTAGCAAATTTTCATGCCGTGGAGACTGTTATAGCGACGCTTCGTGCACAGTTTGACTCACCAAGAGTTTTATTTTTAAAAGTTTGTCACAGCTATTTCCGTTGCCAAAATCGTGTTCTCCATGGGACTTCAATTACATAACATGAATCAAAATGCTTTATTTTGTTCCTTGTCCGTGGTCTTGTAGTCCACTGTTGTAATTAACCTAAAGAACTAACACTCTACTTGAGTAATAGTGTTTCGAATACCGAAATCCAAACAACTGAAATATAGACATGCGTTACAAGACCTCGAATCAGTGACGGACTGGCTCCAGTTTTTTATAGAAGGGGGGGGGATTAGGATTGGGGGCTCCTCATGATAGAAGGAGACCAAAGGTCCAAAAGAGGCCCTGAAAGGCTCTGCAATATTCATCAGAAAGTGTCGAATCGAATCCCCAAATTTAGCTCGAAAGGGCTCCTGGGGGATGATTTGGGCCAAAATTTAGAAACAATCAACCCCTTGCCCTCCATGCTGGTTTGCCCTTACCTCTTATCTAATCTTATTTACTAGTTTTCGGTGGCGCAGCGTGCTTTGCGATATATTGATTGATCTATCATTTAAACCTACGGTAAAGAATCGAAAAACAGGGTGTTCCCAACGAACACCTTAATAAGCGATTCTTTACCATAGTTTCTAATGAGGAAGTATCGATAATCGATCATTCACGCCTCGCCGTTAGTTCATTTTCACCAGTGATCAACATGCAGCTCCAGTTGAGGCGTTCGCGCTAGAATTTTTCATGGTAGCATCCTTCAAAATATGAAAGATAAGTACAGTTTAGTAACTCTTCTCACCTACACTGGAAAAAAACACATTGGATCTAGAGTCCAGACTCTTAAAAACATCGACAAGAAAAAATACTCCTGATTCAATCAGATTTAAGCTTAAATCAAGACCCAAGCCTCTCAATTTGAGCGGATTTCCTTTTGATTTAAGCTTAAATCTGATTGAATCAAGAGTCCTTTTTCTTGTCAATGTTTTCAAGAACAAGTTGTTTAGAAACAACCTGTTCGTCATTAATTTCACTATTCAAATAGGTGCATTTACGGAGGAACCAGAACTACCCTGGTAAAAATTGGCGATAGGAGCTGCGTTTCATAATACCATAGGAGTTCTTATAGCCGACTAAAAAAGGCTATTGAAAATCATATAGCTGGCTGTAGAAAGCGGAGCAAATCATATAGCCGGGCTATACGAGGCTATAAAAAAGTATACAGTCTGACTATATTTCCTATCGCCGGGCTTTACACTTTATCGCCTTTGGCTATAAAAGGCTATAAGAAATTGCGTAGAAATTCGTGTGCTTTGGAAATCATTAAGTTTGATACGGAACTACCTTTATATTTACAAGACACACATTATATTTTCCTTTAGAAACATATTTTTTTTTCATCAATTAAAATGAGAATAGTCCATACAGAGTGTGCAAACATTTCAAAATCATGAGTCGAAAAACGCTGACTCCACGAGATTAAATATTAGAGCCCAACACAAAGCGGAGCGGCGACGCACTGGCGCCTACAAACCTAACAGGGATACTTCACGCATTGCGCAATGCGTGAAGTATCCCTGTTAGGTTTGAAGGCGCCAATGTGCGTTTCACACTCTCTTCCCGCCCGCCGCGCCGCGCCGCAGCGTGCCACGGCGTCTGAAAGAACTATTTCACACCGGAGGTATTGCACAGAATCAAAAGGAATTGAAGGCGCTCCAACGTATTAGGAATGACAGGCATTTTTCAAAAGTACAGAGCTTTCCTCGCAAAATAAATCAAGATACTACGGCACGAAAAGAGAGCGGTAGTCCAAAAATTAACTAAGTCCTAGTACCCGTAATTAGTAACGTTTGGCATAAACTTTATCATCTGGCTGTTGCTTAGTTGCCATCGGCTATAAAAGGCTATAAGAAATCGTACAGCCGGCTACAGAAGCTATTGGAAATCTTACAGCCGGCTTTAGGTCTATAGTATTTTGGAACACACATTCTACTGCCAATTTTTACCAGGGTAGTAGTTTCTAATTGCAATATATAGCAAGGTGTTGCAAGATGTCCTCATTCTTTGTGATGTTGGGTTGAAGGCTTCCTAAAATCACCCTCAATAAAAATGCAAATTTTAAGAGATTGGGGTACAAACCCTCTACAAAGGAATCAATTTAAAGCTCACAATTAGAGCTATGCTCCTCTCTCCATAAAAAGTGCCTTTCCCTCGGTATGTATTTTACGTTAACTAATATGAATCAGGGAGGTCCTGGTTTACACTTTCACGAAAAAGATACCTCTGCCAGAACTAGACTTGGACTATATTTTACAATAATGAGCTACAATTTTTGGCTCTCCTGTAAAAACACCTATGTGCAAGGGGATACCAATAGTACATACGTTGTTTCTAAACTGAACCTGATATTGGAATATATTTTTAAAATGTAGACCAATTAACGGGCTTTGGAGGGCAAAGCGCATAAGTACAGTTTTTGAAAAAAATTGAGTTATCAGTGATTTCAAGTAAAACTAGTCCTAGTGCATATTCTTCAAACAATTCGCTACCAAATTCAAATTTTCAAGCATTAAAAGTAAGTCTGAACTTTTTTTCCGCCATGAGGATCCATGTAATTTCGGCTCTGATGGGAATTCAGGTTACGGACAAAATTAACAATTGAGAGACTTGCCGGACAAGGCGCATAAGTGCAGTTTTTGAAAAAAAAATTAAGATATTATTGATTTCAAGTATATCTAGTCTTATTGCATACTCTGTGAAAAATCCGCTCCCGAATTCCAATTTTCAAGCATCAAAAGGGCAGTCTGAAAATTTTTTCCGCCATAAGGATCCATGTAATTTCGGAACTTCAGGCACGAAATCCTCGAAAAAGCAAACACTGCACTTACGCGTCTTTCCCTCCAAGCCCCACATTTCTGCCACTCATAAATTTAAACTTTTCGCTTGCAAGAAATCAGGTGCAGCTCTAAAACTCAAAAGCACTTCAAAGAACTACTCTAACGTAACTTCCTTCACGCGCCTTGTCCTCCAAGCCCCTTAATCTAGAGTACCTATATTGAGAGAGTATGGCCACTGGGCCCCATGGAGAGGCTTAGAACCCTAAAATGGCGGTGCTTTGTTTAGGTTTTTGAGGATGGGAGGGGGGTCATTGCCAACTTTTGACGGTTATCACCAACCGCACTTGCTGCCAACCTTACTACATCTACGATAATTTTTCTCAAAAATTGCACACGATTAGCCTTAAAAATATGTAAAGATGTCGCAATAGTGCATTTGGGTAAATTTCTCGTTACGACAAGCAAAGAAAACTACATTTTGAGTCATTTTGCATTACATTAATTTATGGCGTCCGCCATTTTTGGGTCCTAAGGGCTCCATTCAGGCTAAGATGGCTGAGCCAATCAGAGGTGGTATAACCCCAGTGGCCATACTCTCTCAATATAGGTACTCTACCTTAATCGAGCGCAACTATCGAAGAAGTCCAGAGCCTCGGGATGAAATTCGGGAAACCATCAGCACCGAATCTCTGGAATATGCCATCTCCACGGCAACCTGGATAGCCCGAGAGGACCGATATCGTTGGGACGTGGAGGGGGGGGGGTGCTCCATTTTTTAATCGCGTCCCACACGCACCCCCTCACCCACCCCGCGGCCACGTCAGAGATTATGCAAATCGCACGACGCGACTAGGAAAAGGGCGGCTTCGGCCCGGGGGAAAGGGGGCGATGGTGGTGGAGGGGGGGCGCTTTAAAAGAAAGTGGGTCATCGGCGAGTCCTATCCCTATCCCCTGGCGGGAGAGCGAAGAAAGGTTTAATTAAATGAAATCTATAAAAAGTAAAGGTATTGTCTTCCGCTCCCCCTCCCACC